AATTACTCTCACAGCAAAGACGTCTCATTTTCTCCCTACACCACATTGTTACTTCCTGATTTATTGAAATACAATTTCTTCAACATACAATGAGATAATGAACCCTGAATGATGATATATTAAGATCAAAGACTGCTTGGGACTTTTTTCCTGTTGCTGTTGTCATTGTTTAAAAATCCATTTGAGAAGAAGGGTTACAGGAAGTCACTCCTCTGCTTACAGAGAAATGTTCCTAAGTTGTTTCTTTGGGAAGACTCAAAGAGGGATATCAATCTGGGGTTCATTCAAAGCTTATGAGAACAAAAATTTAACAGGAAGGTATGGCACAGATACATGAAGCATAAACACTAAAGACAAGGATTAATTATGTCTGAGCGATATTCTTGGAAAGCTATTAATGCATTGTTCAACTGTTGTCAGAGAAACCACTAGAGATGAGTGGACTGCCAATAATAATCAGAGGAGAGTGCAGTCAGGTCATGAACTGTTATAATTGACAATTGTAAAACCTCCATTTGGGAAGAAAATAAGCTCTTTGGTGCTAAGACCAACAAGAGGCTTAAGTGAGGAGAGAGGTGCTTCTAACAGAAGGCAAATGGCAGCGTGTCATCAAATGTAAGACGTGGTTACCTTTCCTTTCTCATGAGTTCTGCTGCTCAATAATTATATGGTAATGCTATCATTCCAGGAGTCACAGAAGTTGCTTTATGGTCTTGTTATCATAAAAACGAGCATCCAGGAACTTCAACAAAAGTAAATGTGTCTAACTGGACATCAAAGTTTAAATATTGTTTTACTTGTGATTACAAAATGATAAGACATCTTGGTAGACCAGCAAATAAGAACAGATGTCAAGAATACAGATGTACTAGTGTCCCTCTCCCAGAGTCGGCCAGGAATTCTCTGTTTGAGTGATTCCACCTAGCCAGGTAAGTTAGTTAGAACCCACCCACTTCACCACTATTTTCCTGCTCCTAGACTTGGCAAGAAACCTGTTGCTCCTAGGCTTCCATTTACCCCAAAGAGCTACTGAGAACCTACCCACTCCATTCCCATTTTCCTGCTCCAGGACTAGGCCAGTATTGCACTCTTAGACAGCTTCCAACAAGCTTAGTAGTCTAGTCAGAACGCAGCAACTCTGTGCTATCTTCCTTTCTGGGACTATGCCAAAAACCCGCTGCTCTCAGGCTCCAGAACATCCTGTAAAATTAATCAGATACCCATCTACTCCATCTTCTGGCTCTGAGCTGAGGCTAGGAAGCTGCTACTAGAGATCTCCTGACTACTACTGGAAAGCTCTGCTCCAATCTGGCATAGGCTGGTGTACTGGATAGCTTTGGTTGTCAACTTGACACACCTGGTTAGAGGAAACCTCAATGGAGGAATTGTCTCCATTGGATTGGCCTGTGGCCGTATCTGTGGAATATTTTATTGATTGTTGAGTGATGTGGGAGTGCCCAGCCCATTATGGGCAGTGCCTGTGTGGTATAAGAAAGTAGGCTGAACAACAGCCAGAAGCTGGTTTGTTTGCTTCGGTTCCTGCCTCCAGGTTCCAACCCTGAGTTCCTGCCTTGGCTTTTCTTGATGATAAACTGTGCTATAAGCCAAATAACCCCTTTCTTCCCCAAGTTGAATTTGGTCAACGTTTTTGTCACAGCTATAGAAAGCTAACAAAAACAGAAATTGGTGTCAGGATTATGGAGTATTGCTGTGACAGACCTGACCATTCATGTCTAGAAGGATTGTAGAAGTTTGGGGGTTTGGGGTTTGAAAATTGCTTGGAGCTCAGGAAGCTCTTCTGTAGGAACTTGGAAGATAATGTTGAAAGAAATCTAGACAAGGGAGATCTGGCTTGTGACAACAAGGGAAACAAAGATTATCAGAAATTTTGTATGCTATTTTGATTTGAGAATCTTTGCTTTCTGGTCAGCTGGGGCTGAAGAATCAGTAGTGATTAAGAAGAGACCAGAACCACTGAAATGAAACCTTTGTTCCATTGGTACAATTGGTGCTGGTCAGTTAGGTCAGTTAAGCCTGAGCAATCACCTGTGAATAACAAGAGGCCAGCATCACTGTGGTAAAATCTGGGAAATTTTCCTCAGAGTCAGCACACAGATGCTAGGCTCCAGAGAGGCCAGAGCCTCCTTCTGAAGCTGGAAGCAGACTTGATAATGTGTAAGAGTCTCCTACTTGGTACTGCTTTTTAAGGCTAGAAGTGTCCTGGAGAACAGCTGAGGCTTGCTATGGGGGAGGCCAGGAAAGGCAAATTAAAAAAAAGCAAGATGATATATTCACACCAAATTACACAAGTCTCATAGAAGTGTTATACAGTGAGAAATACCCAGAGGAAATACCCCAGGACACAGTAGTTAAAAGAAAATATGATCAAAGAATTCAAGGATATTTAAAGAAAATATAAAAAAAAACTTAAAGAAATCAAAGAAGATAAAAATAAATTCCAGAGAGACCCTGTCTCAAAAAGACCAAAAATAAATAAATAAATAAATAGGAATAAACTCCTTACTGAAGCTCAAGAAAAAAAAATACAAATGCATGGCTGAATGAAATAGTAAATGATAAAGACAATTCAGGATTTGAAGAGTGAAAGGGATAAACATATTGAAGAAAACTCAAGCTGAAATGAAGATAAAATGGAAAATCTCTACAGGCCAACTTGACAGGAGAAAGCTTCACAAGCAGAATGAATAAAATGGAAAACATAATATCAAATCTCGAAGATAAAGTTGGAGAATTGGACCTGTCAAAAAATGAAAATGAAAATTAAAAAAAAACAGGAATAAAATGTACAGGAGCTGTGGAACACCATGAAAAGACAAAATCTACGAATTATAGACATAGATAGAGGAAGGAGAAGAATCCCAGGTCAATGACATTGATCAGATTGTCAACAGCCCTACAGAGATTACCTGAAGAATACAAAAGACTGATGAGACTGATGATGAAAGGAATAACCATACCCCAATAAGTTGCAGAATGAAAACAAATGAAGTTTCAAGATTGGAAGCATAAAATAAGACTAAGAAAATGAACAGAAAATAAAATGACAGGGGCCAACACAAATCATTCAATAATAACTTCTAATACTAATGGCCTCAATTCCCCCAATCAAAAGGCAGAAGCTAGTTGAATATCCACTTTTTTATTGTCTACAAGGAATTTATCTTTTTTATTTCTCTTATCTTTTTGAGGCAGGGTCTCCATGTAGCCCCAGATGTCCTGGAACTCACTATGTAGACCAGGCTGGCCTTGAACTCACAGACATCCGCCTGCCTCTGCTTTCCGAGTGCTGGGACTAAAGGCATGTGCCACCATGCCCAGCCTAAGAAACTTACCTTATCTTAAGGGATAAGCACTATGTTTGGGTGAAAGAATGGAAAAAATATTCCATGTAAATGGAACAATGAATAAACAGGCGTTCCTATTTTAATCTGTGACAAAATACATATAAAAATAATCATAAGCAATTTTAAAAGTCACTTTATTCTGAACAAAGGAGCAATTCACCAAGAAGACATTACAATCATGAACATATACACACCAAACACTGGTGCAACGATTTTCATAAAAAGAGTACTAACAGATTTGAAGAGACAGATTAATTGCCACTCAACAAGAGCAGGTGACTTCATTACCCTATGTTCTCCATTAGATAGGTCATCTGGACAAAGAATAAAGAGAGAAACATATGAATTACATGATATCACACATGTATATAACTGACATATACAGAATATTCCACCCAAGCAACATAGAATACACATTCTATTCAGCAGCCCATGGAAGTTTCTTCAAAACAGACCATATTAGGTCTAGACAAAGAACATCAACAATTACAAAACTGAAGTAATTTAATGGATTCTATTGGACCAGAGTACACTAAAGCTTAAAAACAACAGCAAAAGAAGTTTTAGTAATGATACAAATTATGGAGATTAAACAATGCACTGCTGCATGATGAATGAAAAGAGAAAATCAAGGAAGAAGTAAAACTATTCCTAGAACAATGAAAATGATAACAAAACCTCTAGGACACATTAAAAGCACTTCCAAAGAGGGAAGTTAATAGTTCTAAGCACCTACATTAAAAATCAGAAAGCACCAATAAATTGCTTAATGGTACATCTCAAAAATCTGGAAAAATAAGAACAAACCAAACCTAAATCCAGCATATGAAAAGTAATATTAAAAATCAGAGCACAAATCAATAAAATAGAAAGAAGGAAAATGATGTAAATGATTAATAGATCTAAGAGCTGATTCTGTGAAAAGATAAACAAAATAGACAAATTCTTACTCCAGCTGATCAAAAGAAACAACGAGCAACCCTAAATCAACAAATCAGAAACGAAACTGGAAACATAACAACACATACCTAAGTAATCCAGAATATTATAAGAAATTACTCTAAAAACTGTTCTCTAATAAATTATAAAATCTAAAAGAAATGGGTGAATTTGTAGAGTTTATCAAGCTACCAAAGTTAAACCAAGAAGCAATCAAAAACAGGCCTATAGCAAATAGAGAGATTGAAACTGTAATACAAAGTCTCCCAACTATAAAAACCTAGGTCCAGGTAGATTTTGCTCAGAATTTCACCAGACCATCAGAGAGAACCATAACTAATGCTGCTTAAATTATTTGAAAAACTAGAAATATAGGGAAAATTTTCTAATTCCTTTTAAAAAGCCACAGTATTACTCTAATACCCAAAACGAGGTAAAGACATAATAACAAAAAAAGCAAAGTACAGGTTAATTTTCTTAATCAGCATAGATGTAAAAATTCCCAGTAAAATACTTGCAAACTGCATATAGACACATATAAAAGGTTTACCCACCATGATCAAGTCAGTTTTACTCCAAAGATATATGAATGTTCAATATATGTAAGTCAATGAATGCAATGTATCCTATAAATGAAATTAAAAACTCACATGATTCTATCAATAGATGCAGAAAAGTCCTTTGACAAAATTCAGCATGCCTTCAAGATTAACTTTTGACTAAGATCAAGTGTAGTACCTGTTCTTATCAGTTTAATAATTGATATGTCCTCTATCCAAGGACAATATTGTAAATGGAGTTTTGGAAATAAGATGGAATAGGAGCTTGCTCCGCCCACTCCACACATCAACCTGGTACTGCAGCACCTCCAGGAACAGTGTACCCTTCCTCAGGAGGAGTTAAAGAAAAAATAGTCAAAGAGGTAATTGGAGTAAAGGGTACACACCTCAACATAATTAAGGCTGTATAAGACAAGCCCATGGCCAACATCACTCTAAATAGAGAAGAATTCGAAGCATTTGTATTAAAATTAGAAACTAGACAAGGCTGTCCACTATTCCTACTTACAAATGGCATACAGACCTAAATCAAATGATCATCCACCATAATCAAGTTGGATTTCTTCCAGAGATTCAGGGATGGCTTCAATATATGTAAGATAATAAACGTAATAAACCATACCAACAGACTTAATTATAAAAATCAGATGTTCATCTCAAGAGATTCAGAAAAGGTCTTTAGTGGAAATCAACATGGCTTTGTGATATAAATCCTAGAGGGAATTGGACTGGAGAGAACATACCTCAACATAATTAAGGCTATTTACACAAACCTACAGCCAACAACGTTCTAAATAGAGAAAAATTTGAAGTGTTCTCATTTTTCCTACCAAGCCAGGCTGTTCACTGTCCCCACTCCTTTTCTTTATAGTGCTTGAAACCTTAGCTAGCACAATAAAGCAAGAGTAGGAAATTAAATTGGTATTAATTTGAAAAGAAGAGGTCAAATTGCAGATGATATGAGATTATACATGACTGCAAAAATTCCACCAGAAAATTTTCTAGAAATGATCAACTGTTTCAACAAATTAGCAGTATAAAATCAATTAAAAAAATCACTAGTCTTTCTATAAATCAATAATAAACTGTCAGGGAAAGAGATTATGAAAATGCCGTCATTCACAATAGCCTCAAAAATAAAATATCTAGGAACAAACCTCATCAAAGACATTAAATCGCTACAATGAAAATTCTAAAGCTTTAAAGAAAGAGATTGAGAAAGCTACTAGAAGATGGAAAGGCCTCCCACACTCACTGATTGGTAGAATTAATATTGGGAAAATGACCATCATACCAAAAGCAATTTATAAATTCAAAGCAATCCCAGTGAAAATCCCCATAACATTTTTCACAGAGGTAAAAAAAGCCAGCTTAAAATTCATATGGAATTCCAGTAGACAGCAGATAGTCAAAGCAATTCAGAGCATAAAAGCAATGCTGGGAGGATTCCCATACCAAATTTTAAACTATATTACAGACCTTTAGTCATAAAACCTGCCGGGTACTGGCACAAAAATAGACATGTAGATGAATGAAACAAAACAAAAGACCCAAACATAAGTGCATGCAATTTCAACCACCTGATATTTGATAAAGATTCCAAGAAACAAACTGGGGAAAAACAGCATCTTCGACAAATGGTGCTGGAAACTGGATCTCCACACATAGAAGAATGAAATTAGAGACTTATGTATCACCCTGCACAAAAGTCAACTCCAAATAGATCAAAGACCTCAATGTCAAATCTGAAACCCTGAAATTTTTAGAAGTAAACATAGGCAGTATTCTAGAAGATACAGATCTAGGAAAGAACATACTACATAGTAAGAAATTAAGGTCAACAATTCACAAATGGTACCTCATTAAACTTAAAAGGTTCTGTACAAAGTGGGAAAAAATCTTTGTTAGAAAATCTTTGATATAGGACTCACAGCCAGAATATACAAAGAACTCAATAAACAAAACATTGAGAAAACCGGTGACCCAGTTAAGAAATGGGCTATGGATCTGAACAGGAAGCTTTCAAAAGAAAAATTAAAATTGGCTAAGAAATAACTTAAAATGTTTTCAACATCATTAGTATTTTAGGAAATTCAAATAAAACTATTTTCACACTTCATTTTACCTCAGTCGAAATGGCTAAGGTCAAGAGAATAAAGAACATGAAGTGTTGGCAAAGACCTGGGGAAACAGGACCTTTCATTCACCGCTCTTGGGATTGAAAACTGCTGTCACCACTACAGAAATCAGTGTGCAGATCTCTTAAAAAAATTAAAAGTAGATCTACCATATGATCCAGCTATACCACTCTTTGAAATATACACAAAGGACTCAAGATCTTACTGCACAAATACCTTCAGAAATGCTTGTTTGTTGCTACTCTTTTCACAACAGTTAGGAATAAGAAATGACCTAAATGTGTTTCCACTGATGCATGGATAATGAAAATGTGGGACTTTTAACAATGGAGTTCTACTCTTTTGTAAAGAAAAATGAAATACTTAAAATTGCTGGTAAATGGATGGAACTAGGATCTGTTAAATAAACGGATGTTTTACAGACTCAGAAAAACAAGCAAGTCATGTCCTCTCTCACTTGTGGATCCAAGCTTCAGATCCTATATATCCAGGAAAACAGAAAGGAACCACGGAGGGAAAGAGAAAGAAGGAACTCAAGACAGGAGGATAGTAGGAGACAGATGTTTTCAAGTGAGAAATGAGTAACAGGAGATTATTTAACTAGGGGGAAATAAGGAGAGTTACACAGGGAAGAGAGATAAATAATGTTTGGTGGTGTGAAAAACCGAAGGGAGATGTATTAGTTCAACACCATCCTTAAAAAAATACAGATGTAAGTTCTAGGAGGCAATCAAGGTATTTTCCATTAGCCTGTGTTATTGGGGAGTCACTTTGAGTATTCTGACTTACAACTCAAACAGAGATTTCTCCTGCCTGGCATTGTGTTTTTGTTATATAGCCTTTAGATATACACATGCAATCATTTTTTTAACGTACCAGAAAAAGATCAAATGTAATTTATAGTAAGAAGAAGAGACAAAAATAGAATTCAAAAAGAAATAATGGCAAAATACACAAAAAATAATGGGATCAATGAACGCTTGCCTTCTTTTTGAGATGAGAAAATTGACTATAGTTGGAAATAGTTAGTCATAGTTACTTTACATGTAAAAACTGAATATATAGTTGTGGTCTTTCTATAAAGAAAATTATAGGACCCTGGAGATTCATTTTCTAATTTTTGCCAAATTCAGAATGCATAAATTATTTCAATTATTTAAAACTTTTTTTATACAGAATTATTATTTACATGTATCAATTCATTATATAATCATTCTGAAAGATAATGCCAAGCTAGATATAGGACTTGTAGT